AAGCTCAGGGTCTACAAGACAGTTGTCCTCACCAGTCTCCTCTATGGTTGTGAGACCTGGACCCTATACAGAAGACACATCAAACTGCTGGAGCGCTTCCACATGCGGAGCTTGCGCTCAATCCTGGGCATCAAATGGCAGGACATGATCACAAACCTTGAGGTCTTGGACCGTGCAGAAACCACCAGCATTGAGGCTATGATTCTCAAAGCCCAGCTCAGATGGACGGGGCATATCATCCGAATGGACAGTGACAGAATCCCAAAGCAACTCCTCTACGGAGTGCTCAGTAAGGGAAAGAGAAAGCAAGGCAGGCCACTGAAGCGCTTTAAAGACTGCATCAAGGCCAACATCGCCTACACTGGCATCGCAACAAAGCAGCTTGAGGAGTGTGCACAGGATCGCACTGGATGGTGTGCATTGACGCGCGAAGCAACAAAAGCCTTCGAAGCACACCGGCGAGCCAATGTCACTGAGGCTCGCGCTAAAAGTAAGGCAGCAGCAGAGACACCCAAACCTCCAGGCCAGTTTCCCTGCTCCCACTATGGACGTGTTTGCCGTTCCCGCTTTGGACTCCTCAGTCATCAACGAACCCACCCACGCACATAGACGTCATCATCGAGACCGATGGACCACCAATTATTAAAGTTTATTGGTGTTTTCTGTTGTTTTTATAGTATAGACTAAACATGAAATAACTTCTCATGCAATTCTCTCAAATCAAACAAGGTTGACTACGGCAGTTTTTGGTTGCGGCTGGTTTTTAAAGCAGCCTACTATCCCGTCTCTAGAAAAATTTCCCTTAAATTCCATGGACCACAGGAGAGAAGGTGACCGTTCCATTTCAACAATACGAGAATCGGAGTGGAGTATAACATGAAAATGTTTCACAATCGACATGTTTTAGTATTTGTTGATGTTGTTGTTGTTTTCCATTCACAGGGAACCCACAAAAGGAATCATACTGATTGAATTCAATCCTCTCCCCTGCACTACTGACTCCACACTTAAATCAAGAAATTAACATCCGGGCGTTGGCAAGACTTAGAAGAACTACTTGAGTCTGGTTTATATTCTTTCTTTGTTGAATATCGCCGGGTCGACAGCAGTAACCATTACACCAAACCTATCACACTCGTAATCCTTCCCGTCTTTCGTTCGAACCGTTGACACATTCTCAGCCTTAAACATGATGAAATTTATTCCTCCATTTATTCGTCCCTATCCAAGAAGACTAGAATATCTAACCATTTTTTGTTGTTATAGAAAGGTAGCATATTCTTCTCAATTATTTTAAGACCCTGAGTGTTGGTCCGGCCGGGGCTCGAACCCTCGACCTCCCGCACAACAGTCCAGCGCTCTATCCATTGAGCTAACCGGGAGGCGGTTATTAGTAGTACTTCTACAAGGTGGCTCTTCGCCTACTAATGACCTAGCTACACTATATTATTACAAAGAAAAATCTGATTACAATAAAAACGATTACAATAAGATATGTACAGTTAAAAAAAACGGCATGGTTAAAAACAATAATGATATTCAGTTATATGCTTGCTCCGTCGGAGAACATGAGCTTCTTCGCTAACCTAATGAAATTGTTATAATCAGGCTCTTGCCTAAAGCTATCAGGTAAAGTATTAAACAGTCTCGCTGCTGAGTCCTGAAAAGTGCCGCTTTCAGTTGGAATAGCTAACTTTAGGGCTTCAAGAGATCTTAAATTATAGACGTTGACAATATGGAATTTAAGGCGTAAGTAATCAGGCCAGACATCATCGTAGACGGCTTTATGAGTAATTTACAGTAGAGCTAGGTCTCACCTTTTAATGACTGGGAGCATGTGATTTCAAAATCAAACGAGCGCGCGCGCGAGTTTGACTTGAAATCACAAGTATTACATTAGATTGGTTGTTGTGTGGTCGTGAGACTTTCTCATTAGCTGGGGAGAATATGCAATTTAGAGCATAGAATGGTGCAGTTTGTGAATAAATCACAACGGTGAGAGCTGATAAGATTTTAAAATGGCTGTCAATAAAAGAATAAAAACAGAGAAGACACTAGCGCATATTCATTTAAAAGAATGAGTCTGGAAGACCAGTTCGCTAACTTAGGACACTGACGGTCACATCGAAAGATCGAAGCCGACCGATAACGACCCATTTAAGTTACTTGAGCGCTCTTAAAGCCAATAACATCATGCGGAAAATTAACCAATCAGTTTAATTTACACGAAACGAACTTATTACGCTCGGCTTACTACAGCTCTTCACTCTAACTCCAATGATGACTTTCGTTAAAGTTTTCGAAACATCAGTCAGTCACTTCTTACGACTTCCCTCGTCTGCACGTTCACAGTACCCAATCGTAGGTCTTAAAATTAGTTCAAAAAGCAGTTAGGAATATTCAGCCGGAAAAACAAATTGCTTTCTAGCAAGATTCAATGTCATGTCTATCTTGGCATTCCGGCAGCGCTCTAACAAAACCAGGTATCAAGACATATGGGAAATGTGATGATAATATGTTCAGAGAGCTGTGTAAAGAAAAAAGTCATAGCATAGTTTCAAAACTGACGACTAAAGCATTTCTGAAAATTGATAGGGCTTCAAAAAACTCAGGTATTAATAAGATTCTATGTTATCATTGTTTTACAGATACCAGTGCAAGCCTTTACTGAGGACGAAATTCCAGTGCTGTCTGATTTGTTATTAGATTGCTATGGACTTAAGGTGCATCACATCGACTTTTCAATCGGCGATGAAATGATCAGTTTGAAGACAGATTTTATTTGAGTACAATTTGGGGTTAAGGTCAGTTTATATGTTTTTATTAAGTTGATCCAAGTTTTACATCATTACATGGTCTCAAATAATGAACGCAACTAACTTGTGCTAACATATATTGTAATAGAAATATCTTCTCTTTGATCAAGAGTCTCCGACAAATGTAACAACAAAATTTTGAGAAAATGCAAAACTTACATTTAGATGCACCATCAACGTCTAATTGCTTGTTTCAAACTGTATTCATAGATAGGGTGGCAACATCTAAGAAAAAAACTTCTTAGTAAACTGCGATATCTTCCTCTAAACCTCTATCCCTCGGAATTTTGTCAGGTTTCTGAAAGTAAGTAGCTTTTGTTGGTATAACCCACTGTCGAACTCTTTATCACGCCCCTCAAACTTTGCAAAAGTTTGTCAAACTCGCCTCTTCAATCATTGCGTGCGGCATTTTTGAACTTGTCACCTCTACAGTACAATTGGGTAAAAACCATTTATTTCACGCTAAGCGAACGTCATGAAAGTAAAACTCTTGGTTCTTTGATTCTAACACTTGACAGGTACAGCTTTTTAAAGCTGGGCTTTGTTAAAAAGAAAAAGAGCTTTTAGTCGAACGTGTATGATACTCAAAGTTCAACAATGACAAGGCAATACTGCGACATCATGGATTGTTGCACGCGATTACAAAATGACCTTAGCAAGCCAAATAAACAATATCGTCTCTTAGACAAACTACAAAAGCTAGCGCCTTTCTGAAGATATATGCCTAGATAGACCGAGTAACTTTCTCGAAATTTCCTCTTAAAACTTTCTTGATTCGTGAAAACCTTATCTATATCTCTATTTTTGCTTTTGTGATTTACTCGAATTGTAATCACTCGTTAAATATTTTCAAAACAACAGTGCGGGAGTTGAAAAAGGTATGTTTGAGATTGAGTACGTTATCATTACTATTAAGTATTAAACATTTTTTAAATGTCCTTAAAGTTTCTTGATATTGAAATATTTTCTAAAGATATCGGAAACTACTAAATATCCCCTAAAAATCTGGGTTATTTGTAGAAAGGCCTAATCAACTGCGTTATTCATTTAATTTTTACAACATGGATTAAAACACAATTTGTTACGTAAAGCTATAAATACAAGTCACAAATTTTTAGTTCTGACAATGAAAAACCACAAAAGGATAACACATGAGACAATATGAAACGGGTTTTGTACGTATTCGATGTTCCATAGCACAGATCCCTCGAACTATTTCTAATTGCAATAAATGTCTCACGCGTACAGTTATCTTTACGGACAACAAATACGTCTATGAACTTGCACAACTACATTTTTAGGCATCTGCCGCATCTTTTCAAGCCAAAAAGGAGTGAAATATTTCTAATATTATTAACAGTCATTAGTCTAAGCCGGTTGAATTGCCTAAAGAGTAAATCATGATAGAGAGGTCTACAATAAAAATTGTCACAGCTTGGGGTGCATTATCATCCCAACACAGCTCATTAAATCGATTTTTTATATCGGATCGTGTGAATAAACACAATAGATATTGATCTGCTATTTCATAATAAGAAGGAACCCCCCGGCTTTAAACTCACATTTTCTTTATTACACCAAACAGAACAGACAGCACAAGTTGGCTAATTGATCACTGAAAGAAGATCAAAGGTCGGGGTAAGTTTGGATTGCGATTTCTTTTAGGAGAAATCTGAACACTGACTGTTGAAAGTTGAATGTGACTTCCTCGATAGACCTTCCGTAACACCAAATAGATGTACACTTTTAAATCAGTCGGTGTAGTAACCATATTTTTTTTAACTTGTTCACAGACAATATGAGATATAAGTGAAGTTTGACCTCTAACCGCGAACGCCGTTATCAACATACTCAGACCGGCAAAGTTTTCAACTAAAGCAAACGAATGTTTGTACATCAAACAATTAACAATTACTGGACGAGGTTGAGCAAAATATCGTGATTTGTCCGTGGCGAGCAGATCAATTATTTGCCTCAGCCTTCGGCTTCAGCAAATAAGTGATCTGCGAGACACTGACAAATCACGATATTTTGCGATAGCCGAGTTCAATAATTGTTTTATCGTTCGATCACCGAGTTTGTTTTCAATTTTTTGGGGAAAGCGGCAAGCGAGTTTGTTTTCAAATTTTGGGGGAAGTGGCAAGCGCGCACTGCTGCCAGAAATCAAATGGTTTCCTTCTCAGGATAATTTATTCTGTCGACTTTAAATTGTACGTACACTCAACTGTTAATTAACAGAATGTATGCCTTCAAATGGCTGAAACTTACAGGAAAAAGTTCACAGTCTTCAAGGATTTTAAATCCGAAAAAAAAAAGGGAAAATGTATTCATTGATGAATTAGCTTTAACACAATCCCTGAAAGTTTACTTTAAAAGTTGAAATTAACTGTCTGCTGCGTGTTAGATTGCTCGATACTTAGCTCATTTAAAATATGCTCTTCCTGAGAAGTGGTTGCGCTGAAGTGAGAAGTGGTTGCGCTGAAGTGAGAAGTGAGAAGTGGTTGCGCTGCACTCTCAGCTACAGGAATCGAAGAGGTTGCCGTAGTGGTTGTTACAGTCTTCTTGTTTTTCAACGATTCTGATAATGTTTTCACACAAGAGCGACCACAAGAGCGTGGTTACTAGTGTGCATGAGCAGAATATTATTTGCAGCAAAAACGGAGTTGGACGGTAGTGCGCACAAGCAGACCATTATTTGAGGGAAGTTATTAGCAGGTCACGTGGTGGGCTCCCAGTCAATGAAAATGGGATTTTCTTGAAATCTACAGATTAAAAAGTTTCATTTAAGCTTTTAGATGAGTAACACAACCGGTCGTTTATTTTCAGCATTTCCATCGTTGGCAAAATTGTCGACTGACAGAAGCCCAACCCCGACTGTGCCTTCTAATTACGCCTTTAGAAAATTCAGAGAACGTGATTTTGTCAACACAATAGTGATCCTTTTGTGCCAGTCAGCCAAATGACTTCCTGATCTTTACTGAGAGATCTAAAGATATTTATTTAAGTAATTGCGTTGCGATTAACCACTGAGAAGCTCTTACACGTTCAAAAATTAAACGTAAAAAGAATACCGCTACCGATGGAAATTACTGTCTTTGACCAAGAGTTAAGAAATTTAGGAGAGTTAGGGAAGGATCAATCTTACAGCCCTGTTTGTTGCCGCACTTCTGATAAACTTTATTGTGATACTGAACAACGCTTCTTCATTGGAGAATAATACTTAAAAGCAATTCAGTAAACAGAAGCCGACAGAAAATTAATGACTATTAATTGAAAAACACACCTTAAACAGACCCACTTGAGAGCTAACAACTCTTACCACTGCACCGTCCTCAAACTAAAGATCTCTTGAATGAAGAGCACAGGATTTTCACAACAGGTTGTTTAAAAGAAACGTTAATTACATCTTCAACCCGGAGACTATTGGTAACTGCAGTGTTTAATTTTCTTATTTTAAATTTTTCTTTACAGATGGGTCCTACTGCGAGTCTGTTAATTTTAGCCTTTGGAGTCTTGGTCATGGTAAATTCTGCACCAGTCAACGACAAGCTACCAAAACTCGGAAGGATTATGTCCGTTACCCATAGAGTAAGGCGCGATTCAACACCACCCCCTCCTCGACCTTGTGTTAATGCTACACCCACTACACGTGCAAATGTCGGAGCGGTAGTGAAAAAGAAGATCAAAATTTTCAAGAAAAAGATTATCGGCCAAATTCTTTCTGTCGCCAAGAGAGTGAGGCGAGAAGAGCCAACCGTACCCAATCCCCGGCCCTGTTGATAATTTATCCGCAAAGGCTGAGAGTGAACTCGGAGAAAAAGAAGAAGACTGAAGATACCATGGAACAAACAGTTTAAACTGAGAAGGATTCCATGGCAGAAGTTTCCATTTTAAAAGTGTAATTCACATTTAGCGCAATTTATTGGTATTTTGATGTTCAATTTCCACCATATTTATTAGTGTTGGAGCTCTTAAGGGAATTCAAGAGTACAAAGATAAGCAAGAAAACAAAAAAAGATAACTGAATTTTTGCTTTCTTTAAAACGCAACACAGCAGGAAATTTTACTGTTTGACACTTAAAACTTGGTGTGCAAGTAATGTAAATAAAACAATAACATGAACTGAAGTGAAAAAATATCTTGAGATTACGATAATGATGCAGTTTTTCACCGGAACTTAGAGCTTTCTGTTAACTCGTGAGCATCAGTAGTCAAATCAAAACACGACAATCATGTTTATTGTATGAAACTTGGTGTCAGGGCCAGTTATACCGGGTTATTGAGTAGTGCTGACTCTCTAAAATTAGTTACAAAACAGCCCAGCGTGGCTGCTCTCTTAGCTTTCCTTGGCTTCTTAGAAGGCTTTATTGAAAGTTCGATCTCCACATCACATAGTCACCAATGAAAAGTAAAGAGGAATAAAAAAGAGTACTCAAGAGAGGGTGAAAAATCTCTTTATTACTCCTTTGTTAAACGATTTCCAACTTTTACGCTTAAAATTGATATTGACCTCGATGGATATATTTAATATTAACAACATCCGTACATCATTTCACCTTCCTGTTAGGTTTTGAATTGAAATTCATAACAGTTACTAGCTGCTAGAAGAGAATGTTCGATTAGCTACGATTCGCGGGCTCTTCTCAGCTTTTACCAAAAACAATTCTAAGAATTTGTACTGAAACACCTCATATTATGTCATCGGCACATGGTCTGCAATTATATTGGTGCTACACAAGTATTACAAGGTAAAAATGCAGAAGATAATCGGAATATCTAACATACAAACCTAATGATATATTCATATTCCCTCGCTAGAAACCACTAAATAGCATATTGTAATGTTTCAATCCTAACTCAGATACACCAGGCTTTTCTCAGCTTTCACCATAAACAATTACAAAACCTGTAAAGTAAGTCAACAAAGTTGAAAAATTGAAATTTCACGATAAAACCTTTGACATAAAGTCGCATCTTACTTATTTGAGATCTCTACAAAACGAGAAATGGTCCCCTACTATTTTTAGGAACAGTCGCTTTAGATCTTAAATTTTTTATGAATTTACGGAGCTCTTAAGGGAACAATCACCGCTGTTTTGGTGTCTGTCAGTTCCTTGTTTCTTGTTGACTTTGCAGATCATTACGCATTACGAAGGTACACACTTATTTCTTTCTAAATTTATCGGCACATAATAGTTTCCCGGCTTTGAGAAATACTTTTGGACCAATTGTAAAATACCCTCTCTCAATCAAGTAACCTACTTCCCGTTCAAACAGGACCGAGTAGTAATTCTTCTTTCCTTCTCCTTCCCCTGCTATGTCCCCTATGGCTCTTTGGTAAAACTTATACAAGCGCTTAATCATTTCTATCTCAGAGAAAACTCTCCTACCCCTTGCTGAATGTGGAAAGAGTTTGACTCAATAAAACTATCACATAAAAAGTATTTTTTACACAATGGTCCAGGAATGCCAACAAAACATAAGGAAGCACAATTTAAACTCCGCGTTTAAAGCTTGTTGATACTTTTTTTTCTGAGAATGCGTCAGTAGTATTTCACTAAATTAATTAAAATTAAAGCCATTCAGCACATTTTATGAGAATTTTTCCGAGACAAAGCCAGAAAATGTTTTCTGCGAATTCTTCCCATCGCAGGAGTACCAACCTAACAAAGATCTAATGATTCTTTTTGAGGAGACAGCAACGCACAGATCACCCAGTAAACGAGAACAAAGATTCCATACACAGATGGCATCAGAACCCGCGCGTATCTGTCCACTGCGTTCACGGATGGAGTGTACATGCCTTTCTTTCTTTTGTTTTTGCAGGAAAACAATCGGAAACAAGCATTTGGTACACCTGCCTGGTATCGTTTATTTTGAGGTGAATCGTCTGATGTGAGATTGTTTAGTAGTCCAAGCTGTAAAATAACACAGTTTGTTTAGACTAAATGATGCCTATATTCTTTTTACTCTATAACTACTAAAAACAGTGGATGTAAGATTATTCATAATAACACAGGGGAGCTATTAATATCACTGTTTTAAGGTATGATAATAACGAGGTCCACACACGGGCTTTCGATCACCGGCTTTTTCAGAAAAAGGTACGCAGTAACTCTGTTATTCTTTAATTCTTCTTTCTTTTTTATCAAGCACCAAAATAACACGTTCCTTTCCCTTTAAAACAGTTTGAAAACCTAATTTTCGAACTAATTAGAAGGTAAAGAATAAAAAAGGTGGTAAGTTTTGAACTTGGTAAGGAAATATAGAAAGATGTTTTTCGTCTGACTAGTCACGAGCATGGAACGAAGAAACAATTCTGAGTCCCCATGGGAATCGAAGCTGAGACCTTCGGATTCCGCGCTCCGATGCTCTACCACTGAGCCATAGAGACTCTATGGCGAGCAAGGCCCATTGCTCATCAATCTTTACCGAGCTCACAACTTACCATCTTTCTTATTCTCTACAAAGCATGACGCTACTGACATTGTCAATCCTAGCCGTATGCAAGACGCGCGTCAATCATGAACTTCGTAATGGGCCTAGCTCACCATAGAGTCTCTGTGGTTAAGTGGTAAAGCATCGGAGCGCGGAATCTGAAGGTCTGAGCTTCGATTCCTCACGGGAACTCATGTAGGACCCGTATGACCCGGTTGTGAGCCATGATAGTCATGATGTATCATTTCAATGTAGGACTAAGCATGCATTCAAACTAACTTCAAAGTTCTCATCAGCAGACATCGTCCTCTTCTTTCTGTCGGAGATGTTCAGCACAATGATATATTCCAACATGGTGGCAAACACAAAACCAAACGATACAAAAAGATGGCAGTCGATCGCTTTCATGTAAGACACACGAGGCATTGAGCTATTGACAGTTCCTACGTAAGAACAAAATAGCAGCTTAATTTACTTACAATCGTGTTGGCAATGGAATTGTGTTTTTATCAATCTAAGTAATTGCTTCAGTATTTTTCTGTTATTTCATTTATTGAGTAAATTGGAAGAAAACTTTGACTTAAGCCCTTGGGAGTAAAACATGGTGGCAAACGACAAACTACATAAATTGTAATTCTGGTTCTTCTTTTGACCTTTTAGTACACTTAAATAAATGTGTTTGCACTTTCTGGAAACATTGTATTTTTTCCCTATCCTTTCTCTCTGCCGTAAACGTCAAACTCAAACTACTAACAAAGTCATAGACGAAAAGTCATCTCCTCGACTAACCAGTTAAGTTCTCTGAAAAGGATGTTGTAAGTTATGGATGCAAATGGGGTTAGAGATGAGTACATTGAACCGGAGCGATTGATCTTTGTATTTCGTTTATTTATTCTCTTACCCAAGAAGTACACAATAGTAAGTACAGTTGTTATCCCCAGTGCCACGCGGGCAGGCACGGCATCTTTAGGTATCCACAAAGCCATAAATGATAAAAGAACAATCATGTAGCTGGGAACGTATACTTGGAGAACTGTATATGACGTGCGGCGGTCAAATACAAACGTGGCGTATAAGTTGGAGAAAGCGGCTGTTGGAAAAGTAGATCATAAGACGTACGAGGTTTCCATATAATTGTGCTTAATGAATATTTTGACACGAGGTAAATGTTTCTCCCCATTTCGAATGCACTTTGATTCTAGTTATTCGCGATTATTTTGAAGATCACAAAACCAGAGCCGCCTTGAAATCCACCGAACGAAACATAACGATTATATCCTCCTGGTTAACTTGAAACCTTTCAGTTTTCCTTCATAAACTGATTGCGAGCTAGCTACAATCGATTATCAAGTCATCAGTTTTGGTGGCAGAGCGTTTCAGTTGAAATATTGCAAGGAGCATTGTAATAGCCTTTTGTTTGCATAGACACATACCAGAGGATATCTTCTTGTGTTTATAGCTGAGTTTCACTCCTTTGTACTCATATTGAGCCATGGCGTCATCATAGACATCCACAACGCATTTCTCCGTTGCTAAGTTTCCCCAGCTGTAGTTCAACTTTGATTCTGTCAGTGAAACTAAATAACAAATAAGTTCAAAATTAGTGAGAGGTACAGAACAAAGCAGAGCGAAAGACAGCGAAATGCTCTGAGTGCCCAGTAAAAAAATTTAACAAAAGAGAATGTGATCACCGACAAAACAGTTTTATGTCATTCTGGGTTCTTTTATAGTCACCACGGAGGAAAGCTTCCTGTCATAATGAAAGGGAAAAATAGAAGTTAGAGAAGTGAAAAGTTAAATACTCACAACTCTCGATAATGAGTTCACATTTCTGTCTGTCAAATGGATACATCTGCAGCTCCATGTGACAAGCAACGTCTAATGTGATCCTGATAATGTATTAACATGAACAACAGTAAAATGATGTCTATGTAACTTCCCTGATGCGAGATGAGGACCAATTAAAACCCGAAATAGAGTTTAAAATGTTTAATCTTGCCTTTGGAAACTTGAAATGTTCTTGGGTCAAAATGACCCAATGAAGCATAACAGTGTACATGGCCTACACTTGGGTCTAGTTCCCAGTCGTCCCTGCCAGGGCTTTGACGGAAGCGCATTGTATCATATGTCTCAAGCTTGCTAGCGCTTTCGTGGGGACTGAAAACGAGTTTTTTTGCAACAAAACATTTACCGGCTAATTTACCTGGACATCTGTACTACCAATCCGTTAGGCATGATGAACACCATTTGATTGTCCTTCATCACCTTTATGAAAATAGGTAAAATGTTAAAGTTTTTTAAGGGCTAGGGACTCTAAAATCGGCGATTTTAAAAATTGACATCCTCTGTCTAATCGCCAAATGTAACGTTTGTGGAGGAGATAATTATTAATTTTTGGGATAAAGCGTGGAATTGCTACATAGAAATTTTCTTAAAACTAATTAGTATAATTTCAGAGCTGAGCAAAGAGTTTCCAGCAATCTGATTGGTCGAGCGGTTCCTTATATGACGCTGAAGAAACCGCTCCACGCGGTTTATAAAATGTTAAAATAAAAGTTTAATAAATGTTACTAAGATGTTATGATTTTAGAAATTTCTCTGTTGTTCAGCTCTGAAATTATACTAAAACAATCATTCGCCTCAGGTTCGGTGAATATTATCGAGTAATCCCCTCGACTTCGTACGTCTCGGGGATTATTCGACGATATTCACCTCGCCTTCGGCGAATAATTATTAAATGTAAAAGCTGCTAATATAAATTTAAAACGGAAAACTTACGTTTTTAATCTCTGTTTTCTTGGCATTCATAAAGTAGGTGTCTGGTGTCCAGATCTTCTTGATGTCATTTCCACTGAATTCGAAATTCCTACCTTGACCTTGAGCGAGTCTGATATCTGTCCAAGCTTGAAGGAAATATAAATCTAGACCGTATTCCTGTTAGAAAAAAAATGATCTTCAAGGAGCTGCGAGTTCACAGAGGGTTCAATTCTTGTTGAAGCTCTGTATCGTTTTCAGCCTTTCTATCACATATTGATAAAATACATCGCTTCGTTCATTTATTCTTCACCCAATTAACTGTTCCACAGTTAAAGTACTTTGATCAATTTTGCTTTGATATCTAAATATTTCAAAAACGAGAAATTATTTTCAGTTGCATCAAGAATCAAAATAAGGATACTTTTATCGTTTGTCTCACTATGTAAGAATCAGGCAAATCAATCGTGTTTTGATTGTTATACTGCTAGTCTTCGTTAAGCGATGAGGTCGAGAGCTTTTAAAAAGTGTCGCTTTTTATAACACCTTGGCTGGTGTGTTATGGTGCGCTTGGCTGGTGTGTTATGGTGCATTTCGATCCTCATGAATATTCCAACTATTAGATGTTTTTTCCGGCCTCATAGATCCGCTTTGTTACTGATCGTTTGTTATGCTTTTTGATAGCAAGCATCCATACTTCAGGAATATCGATTCCGTTATCGAGTTACCGTTTTTAGAAGTATTTTTGTTATGAAAGATCATATTACCATTTTTGCTTCCTTCACCTCACCAAAAGCCAGGATTTCAAGTGTGAGTGCCACCTGTACCGGCTTATCTGAAACAGTTGAACACTGATAGACTCAGCGGTCTTCACCCGGAAAAAAGCAGCTTGTCCTAACTTGATAGAAAACGAGACCTGGGCCGAGGAAGTATCTGAAGTTACAGTATCAGTTCTTAGCAAAGTCTCTTAACTGACGCGACCACAAGTAAGAAAATAACTAGAGTCATTAATACAGCTACTGAAGCTAATGATCTCCTGTTCACGTGCACTTATGAACTAGACATAACATAGTGTTATATACATAGAGCTATTTTGGTTTATAGAGGAAACCGGTCCAAGACTTAATCTTTCTTAGTACTCAATTTTGTTCAACAAGTAAATTTAGTTTAATACGATGAGGCTTAAGTGAGGAATAAATTACGAAGAAACTCTTTATTCGCACTATTTCAAGAGGTTACTACAGATTATAAAAGTCAGAATATATAAGAAACAGTAAATTACATCAATAATCAAAAGTAAAATGTGCACAGTGACCAAAGTAGCATAGCTTTCGAGTTGGCCACTGTCACGTATAATTAACTGGTGTATCTTAACATTTACACAAGACTTACTTTACTTTAAATCTATATTTACACTAACCAAGGTATTTATACACAATGAATATTATAAACAAAGAGCATAGAGAAGGGAGTAAATAAGTAAATAAATAAATAAAAATTTAATTAAGTTAAAAGAAAGAGAATTAATTTTTTTTTTTTATAATGAATCAAAAGAACAAAGACTAAGAACAAAGAAACTAAAGTAAACTAAATCAATGCATTCTAAGAAGCAGTTTGTGAAGTTAGCAGATATAGCTTAAATTCTTTGGAGAAGCGATGATAACATAGTTTTTTTAGATACAGTGGAATAGTCTCCCATATTTTCGATGCAATGAAAGTAAAAGTAGAAGCTCCATAATTATTATGTATTAGAGGCCTAAGAAGTTAAGGTTACGAAACACTACTGTTGGTGCCAAACGGTGTTTAACTCGAAGTTTCTCTCAGGCGAACTGGTAAGTATGTCTCATGGCGGTCACTTTTGAGTCCGAACAAGAAAATAACCGGCTGTATCCTAATAATAGCAGGGATTGTCCCTAAGACTGGCAGAACAGAGCAACCTTTGTCGAAAAATTACCGTGAGTGGAGTCCAGTGATCCAGCTGCTAAGGACTTACCTGGAGTAAATGGAGCAATCGATGGATCATAATCCTTCATCAAATTTTGGAAGATTGTAGAGGAATTTATAATCCACTGTTTGGAGGTATCATTCATATTAGTTCTTCTGCTGGGAAGAAAAGCGAAGTGGAAATCAGAATGAAAAACATCGTAAGCTTATTGAATGAATTCTAAAATGATAAAGGTAAATGGCACCCACTAGCAAGTTTAGTTTGCAAAGTTCCTACACGTTAGCCCATATTGCCCTGGTCGTTTTTATTTAGAAATCACGAACTAAAAATCTTAACCGACGAACACTATGAAAGCCTCTGGCCTGTTTCAATGGAACTTGAAAATGACCAGACGTCAAAAATATGCCAGACATGTACAAGTACAACAAATAACAGTGTTGAGGGTATTAAGTAAAAGCCATGCAGGACTGATCAGCAAGAATCCAATGAAGAAAATAATCAACATGAAATAATCATATTCTCATCGCTGCTTTAGGTCTTCCACACGCTGGGCTTAACACCACATGATCACCTCCTAGTCACCAAGACAAGATTGCTTTTGCCAATATTATTGCTTGCTGCTTAAAGGTTAAATTTCAAAGTCGACGTTCACATAGTATACTCTGGTGGCATTTTATATCGTATGATACTCGCTAAACCTGTGCTGACAAATAATCGAATAGCTAACATCAATAAGGGAAAATACTTAAATCCGAGTCTTTTTAGCTTCATTGGTAATATTGCAGTTATCCAGAAAGCTCACAAAACTTCATTACATCTACATGCAACAAAAATGACATTAAAAGATCAATTCTCACTTTCGTAGCTTCGATAGATATGTCGTTATCATTATTTTACATAAAAACTATGGCAAAAGACCTTGTTCCCTCCTTTTCAAGTTTTTAATGTACCTGTTAGAAGCATGTTATAGACAGTAAAGAAAATACTTACGGTTGTGCAACACAGAAAGAGCTGGATATAAACACACAAAGTAGCTTGGCTAAGAGTTGGTTGGCGTACATTTTGAGGCTGTGTTCTCATCGCCGACTGCTAAAACTCAAGTCTAACTCACTCACATCAAATGAGTTTTACACCTGTAATATCAATAATGTAAAAGCATAATATATTCGAAGTTACCACCCACAGCTACAAAATGAAGTGAAGGTTAAGACCTTGTTTAAATGTTGAATCGAAGCAAGATTGTTATTCTCTCCCAAGGTGAAAAGATAATAACGGATGGAATCAAACACCCGTATATACATCACATGTATTCTGTAATCAAACACCCATATATACATCACATATATTCTGTAATTGCAATTCCAAAATCATTATTTTGGCAAGCATTTAAGGATCTATTAAGTATATCCAGCTCGCTAAAGAAAATTCTAATCAGTGATGTGCCGGTTGGGCATAGTTTATTAAAGCCGCTCAGTTAGTGTTGACTCTTACATTCTAACCCGCATTCAGAATGGAAACATAAACAACTTTAGTTTGAAGAAGTAATTTGACAGAACCCTACGCCAGATATTTATTATTAATCTAGTGTACGAACATCACAGTTTCTGCAAAAGACGAAAAGAAGAATAGGAATAAGTAGAAAGCTACGCTTCCTAAATTTCCTTAGTTTCTTATTTTAAACATTTGGACACAAGCGATTGACATACAGAATTGTAGAGTATGAAAATATTTTGCCCATAAGTTTTATTCAAACGTTGAAAAGTGGAGGAAATATATCTTTAATCAATCCTCTGGCAATGTTTGTATTACAAGGTAACCATCGAACACGCAAATAGCACAAATTGAAATGAATAGTACATTGGTCATTAAAGGAAATATGATCCGTTTGTGGAGATATTTACTAGAGTCCTCGTGATATTTTGGGCTGTAAATTGGTTAGTGGCTCAATCACACGTATTGGCGTCAAAGTGATGAGCGTCGTCAAAGATATGGATGATCAGAGGTTTTGTGAGTAAGGATCCTAATTTTCCTTTGCCTCTCCTCTTTTGTGAATTCCCAAAGCCTCATGTCACAACATGACAATTGAACTGACGCGTAGACAAAATTGTTCAAGAAGCTTCCAGTTTGCTTGTAGGTTCGTAGGTTAATTGTTAGTGAAGAACCACAGCGAGATCGTGACTAATGTAAACATAACATACTCCGTGTAAATAAAGAAAGATATAGTCGGTTGTTATCACTAGAGTAATCACGTTTCAAAAGTCAGTCAAAAAAGTCCTAAAAAGAAACCGGACGACTAAGGTTGGTTGGTAAGAAACGTGTAGACAAATACTCTTTTTATTTTCATTATTGAGTGTAGTATCTTTGTTCAAACCGAAATGATTTGGGTTCCGTTTATCTGCAGGAGGAAAAAAGTCCTGATTATTAAAGCATGTTGAGGTAATTTTAAAAGAAAGACTTGAAATGTTACAAAAGTGTTAAATGACTCTGATGATTCAGTTCTAAATTATTGTAACGAGGACAATTTAACAGGAGCGCTACGTGATTCAGCTATGTTGGCACAACAATAGAACACTAAGATAGATCGATAGATAGATAGTTTATTGACTAAAAACATAGCAGCCATTGCCTGAATTACGTCTAGCTTACAATCACTAATATATGTAAATAATACGATAGGAAAATAAGGACCCTCTAATGTAATATCTAATTAAAAATATGAATGCAATCAACTAAATGTCTAGTTATTAAAAACGTGACTCAGAATGAAACTGTTCTTGCAACGTTCAGTCATACATCTTGGTAATTTATATGGTCTTTGGTTCCTAAGGCCGTACGTAGATATGTCCACTTCTGGCAAAAGTGAATGTAATTTGTGTCCCTCATTTGTATAGATCTCGCCGGACGAAGAGTTTCGAGATTTCCTCTCTTCTTTAAGATAGTATAGGTAATCCTGACGAGTTGAGGGCTTCAGCATAAAACAAGGTAGGGTAAATGATCTGAAGAGCGCGTCTTTGTAGACGTTCCCAATCGTCGTCCAGATAAGCTGGTAGTGCACGGTGGAAAACTGGACAAGCATATTTCCGAAGGGACGGGATACACCGGTTCAGTAGAATAGATTGAGTTCTTTCCGAGCAACTTTCGATCTATTAAATTGCCCTAAGCAATAAAGGCGGGAAGTAGTACTCTATTTAAATTTCGTCTTATAAATTTTCTAGACTTTTAACTTTCTAAATTCTGTATATACATTCTATTGCTGCTTATATGATTGTCTGTAAAAATTTTATATAGATGCTTTTTATACATATTAAGGATATTTTGAGAATATATCCTTAATATTTTTACATATACTCTATTTAATCTTATATTATACTCATGTTACTCATTTATAGCTAAATACCTTGACACTTCAATAAAGTTTATGTATGTATGTATGTACTAATTCAGAGATATGTCCGTTCCATTTGAGATCATTACTAATATTCAGTCCCAGGATTTTAGAACTAGAAACTACTTCGAGGGGCTTGCCGTTTACTTCAACAAAGTTGTTA